TATCTATCTATCTATCTATCTATCTATCTATCTATCTATCTATCTCTATCTCTATCTCTTTATTATCTCTCTCTCTCCAAATATATATTATCTATCAATCTATCAATCTATTATCTATTTATCAATCTAAATCTATCTTTATGATCTGTCTTGCTATCTAGCTATATCTGTATTATCTATCAACTATTTATATCTATATTTATTATCTATATCTATATTATCTATCATTATCTATCTATCTATCTATTTCTATCTATCTATACCTATCTATCTTTATTATCTATCTATCATCTATCTATCTATCTATCTATCTATCTATCTATCTATCTATCTATCTATCTATCTCTATGTCTTTATCTGTCTATCTATCTATCTATCTATCTATCTATCTATCTATCTATCTATCATCTATCTATCTATCCACACACACACACACACACACACACTCTATCATCTATCTATCTATTCACACACACACACACACTCTATCATCTATCTATCATCTATCATTTTCCTATCTTTCTATCCATCCATCCATCCATCCATCCATCCATCCATCCATCCAAACATAAATTCTATCTTTTCATCTCCAGATTGTCTCCCAAACCAAGGTCACCAAGGAGCTGATGTTGCCAAGTGGAGAGATTTTGGAGAATTCAACCATCACGGTAGATAAATCCAGGGGAAGGGGCAGGAGGGAAATGGGAAATAACCTTAATTTTAGGGAAGACCAAGGGGAAACCAAGGATAATTCGGAGGGGGGGATGGGGGAAAAGACAGGAGACACGGCCTAGTGCAGGGAATTGCAGGAGCGATGGAAGCAGCGTGATCTGATGGGTGAAAATTTATTTTAATAAATAAATAATAGGATAAAAAATAATAAGAGAAATAATAATAATAATAAATAATGCAATGTGTTGGGACCATAAGTCCCATAACAGCTAGGTGAAGCTGCCCTTTTATGCCCCCAGTGTCATCCTCTGGGAATCAACATTTAGCTTTCTCTCCCCGTGTGCAGCTTGGCTTACTTACAAGAGTTGTCTGTTCTGACTTTTGGAAACTGGAGAGCAGATTCTTCTCATAATTTTGCAAATATTTACAATCTGCCTTTCTGGACATGGTTTGTACTCCCTTCTGTTCTATTTTATCTGCACCACAACCTTGTAAGGTAGCATCGGCTGTGTGCTTCAAAGGAAAAATAAGGATTTGTGTCAGACTGTTCCTGATCTCAACTTATGACCGTTGTCAACCCCTGATGTGCAGAACTTGAAGCCCCACAGATTCCAATACAGGGTGGGAGCTATGTAGAAGGCTTAGTTCAACTGAATAATACCTCAGAATATATTAAGTTGTTTAGTAAAATCAAATATCACTGAGAAAAGTTAACAAGGATGCAACTAAACTACAACCTTCATTTCGCCACCATTAAAAGTGACCACGGAACTGGAAAAAAAGAGGCTTACAAATTGGTCCTCATACTTATGACTATTGCAGCATCCCTGTGATCACATGATCAAAATCCAGACACTTGGCAACTGGCATGTACTTATGACGGTTGCAGTGTTCCGGGGTCATGTGATTACCATTTGTGGCTTCTGACAAAGTCAGTGAGGGAAAAGCTGGCAGGGCAATTCACTTAATGACTGCAATGATTTGCTTGGCCACTGTGGCAAAATAGTCGCGATTTCTGACGTGACTCGCTTAACAACTCCCTAACAGAAATTCTGCTCCCAGTTGTGGTCGTAAGTCGAGGACTACCTGTATTGATTTGAAGAAAATGGTAGGCAAGTTATCTTGGTGTTTTTCCCTCTCTTGGCATGAACTTTTTGGGGTCCTTTTTATTGGCAGATCGAAGCTGAAGAGGTCTCCCGTACCAACAAGTTTGTACAACTGGAATTTAGTGGTCAAGAACTGGATGACAAGGTAAGGAAAAGGATAAAAAACTAGAAAGCAGCTCCTAGAAAATTAACATAAAATACGAGATTATATGCAATGTAATTGTAATTGAAGACTAAGAAATGGAAGCACAAAACAATTTGTAAACCAACTGGCACACTGTATGTGTTCCATATGTATATATGGAAGATGGCTTGATGTTTTTATGTTTTGTTTGTTTATGTTTGTTTTTAAAAACCCATAAAAACTTTTTAAAAAATCACTGAGAATAAACCTTCAAAACTCAGTTTGACCTGCATACATGATCTGCAGCCCCATGTAGATCCCAGGACTCTTTGGCTGGGAAGAGAGCTGTGTAACTTAGAAATTGGTGGCATTTTAAACCAGACATTGCTTCATGAATTATTGCTTCTTCAACAAGGAAGGATAAAGGAGGAGGTTAACAGAATAAAAGAGTCGGAAGGTACTTCAGAGGTCTTCTAGTCCAGCCCCCTGTTCAAGCCCTGTATCATTTCAAACCAGTCTCTTCTTAAAAACTTCATCTGGGGATGAAGCACTCACAACTTCTGGTGGCAAGCTATTCCACTGATTAATTGTTCTAACTGTCAGGAAGTTTCCCTTTCATTCCAGGTTGCGTCCCTCCTCAATCATTTTCCATCTGTTGCTTCTTCTCCTGCCTTCAGGTGTCTTGGAAAATAAATTGACCCGCTCTTCGTTGTGGCAGCCCCTCAAATACGAGGAGACTGCTATCATGTCCCCTGCCCCGCACACCCCAGACTGGCCATACCTAACTCCTGCAACTGTTCTTCATAGTTTTTTTTTTGTTTCCCGGCCTTTAAATCTGGTCTTCTTTTTAAATTTAGTCTCCAGGCCTGACAAGTTTTAAATCAGACATTATCTCAGGGGTTATTGGGGTGAATAGGTCTTCTAGTCCAACCCCTGGTTCATGAGATCCTATATCATTTCAGACAGATGGATGTACAGTCTCTTCTTAAAAAATCTCCAGTATTGGAGTATTTACAACTTCTGAAGGCAAGCTGTTCCACTGATTAATTTTTCTCACTTGTCAGGAAATTTCTCCTTAGTTCTAGGTTGAATGTCTCCTTAATCCATTTCCATCCATTATTCCTTGTCTGGCCTCCAGGTGCTTTGGAAAATAGCTTGACCCCTTCCTCCTCTCTGTGACAGCCTCTCAAATATTGGGACACTGCTATCATGTCACCTTCTTTTCATTAAAGTACTAGGCATACCCAAATCCAGCACCTGTTCTTTATATGTTTTAGCCTGAAGCCTCCTAATCATCTTGGAAGCATTCAATTTGTTTAGATTACATTAAATTATCCTCACTGCCCCCAATTTCTTGTAGCTGGATCTGCTTGGTTATCTAAAGCGATCGTGTGAATCTTGCCAGCATGCAAATTCTTCCTCTGCTGCTATGAATGAATCTCTTATGGATTTCCTCCAAACTTTAGATGGCTCCCAGTTGTGCAAAGAATATATTTATTTTTACAACGAACTTGAGGTTACATAACAAAGCACAGCATCTTTCACAAACAGCTTTCTTAGACATGTTCCCCCAGTGGCCTCAGAGCAATCTTTCTCAGCCGTGGCTATTTTAAAATGGGTGGACTTCGATTCCCAGAATTCATCAGTCAAGGCTGAGGGATTCTGGGAGTTGAAGTCCACCCATCTTAAAATAGTTCAGCCATCTTGCTAAAACACTGTCCATACTTAGAAGCATTCCAGATCAGTGTTTTTCAACCTGGACCACTTTATGAGGAGACAGATTTCAACTCCCAGAATTCCTCGGTTAAGGCTGAAGGATTCTGGGAGTTGAAGTCTACCCATCTTAAAATGGTTGGTCTCCCCTGCTAAACACTATTCATGCTTAGAAGCATTCCAGATCAGTGTTTTTCAACCTGGACCACTTCATGAGGGGGCGGACTTCAACTCCCAGAATTCCTCAGTCAAGGCTGCAGGATTCTGGGAGTTGAAGTCCACCCATCCTAAAGTGATCCCAGTAGGGGAAACATTGCACCGTTATGATCCCCTCAAACAGGATGATCGGTCAGGAGCCGGCAGGCACACCCCGCTGCTTCTCAATATCGGAGAAGCTGTCAATCGTACCCGCGTTCATTTCTGTGCCTCCGTTGTCCATCCTTTCTTCGTTTCGCAAGGTTGTGAGCTGCTGGTATGATGCAGCTGCGTCAGTTTCTGGATGCCCTATTTAATTCAGCCAGCCTGTTTTCCTGCGGATTTCCCAGGGGGGCTGAGCTCATTTGGAGGAAACCTGCTCTCCGCAGGACTTTAAAAAATGCAATTTTTTTTTTTGCACTGCTGGGTGAAAATTGTTTTCCAGCCCTTCTGAAATCAGCAAAACGTGACGCCTGCGTACGTTTAACTATTCCTTCCTTTTCCGCTCTCTCTCTCGCTCTCGCTCTCTCCCCACACAAAATCAGGAGAAGAATAGCCAAATGTTTTGCCTGTCTTGAGGCTGAGCTCGGAGAACGACTGAATAAGGAACAAATAAAATACAGGCAGTCCTCGACGTATGACCACAATTGAACCCAAAATTCCTGTCGCTAAGCGAGGTGCTTTGTTCTGTGAATGTGGGTTTCTTGTCACTTCTTTAATGAATCACTGCTAGTGTTACGCGATTCACACGGTTGTTAAGCGAATTGGGATTCCCTCTTGACTTGGCTCGTCGGAAGGTCGTAAAAGGGGATCGTGTGACGCTGGGACACTGCAAACCATCGTAAAGAGGAGCCGGTGGCCAGGCAGCTGAATTTTGATCATGTGATTGCAGGGATGCCGCAAGGGTCGTAAGCCTGAAAAAAACGGCCATAAGTCACTTTTTTTCCATGCCGTTGTAAATTCGAACAGTCACTAAATGAACTGTTGTAAGTCGAGGACTAGTGGTATTCTTTAACAATAGACTAGCTGTGGAAGAGTTTAAGTTTATTCCTAGGAACCCCGCAGAAAAACAGGCAGTCCTTGACCTATTCACTTAGTGACCATTCAAAATTACGATGGACTGAAAAAAATGACTTACTCTATGACCGTTTGGCACACTTTCACCGTCGCAACATCCCAACGGTCGTGTGATCAAAATTCAGTCTTGCTGGGCTAATGACTCGTATTTATGACGGTCGCCATGTCCCGGGGTCACATGATCCCCTTTTACGACCTTCCGACGAGCGAAGTCCACGAGGAAGCCGGATTCGCGTAACAATGGTGTGACTCGCTTAACAACTGCAGTAGTTCACTTCACAATGGTGGCAAGCAATGTCTCACTTAGCGACAGAAACGTCGGGCTCAGTTGTGGTCGTAAGAGGAGGACCGCCTTTAAGAAAGGTTGCAAGGATGTGAAAGAGGACCTTAAAGGACCTCTGGTGTGGCGTGTGTGAGAACAGCTGGTGTGGTATCAAATCCAGATTGCTATGATGGCTCCCCTGGGTGTCACAAAATGGCTGCTTAGCCATAACTCTCTGAAAAATTGCTTTCCTTTTTTCTCTTTTCCAGGATTTCTTCAGCAAATCCGATCCTTTCCTGGAAATATATAAAGTTACCATTGGCGAGTCGGAGAGTCTGGTTTGGAGGACAGAGGTGAGGCTATTACAAGGCCCCTCCGGAGAATTTGATGGGAGGGATTTAAAGAAAAGATGGGCGGGGGGGAATGAAAATATAAAAAATTAACAGAGGCTGGAACAGAGTAAAGAGACGCTTTGCAAACCTCTCAGCAGGCTGATCAGTTTAACCAGCTGCCGAAATATATCCGTTCGATCTAATTAACGTTTTAGAAATATATTCGCCTTTTGAATGATTTCAACGCTGCAAAATGCCCAGCGTCATTTCAAAATGAGATGGCCAGCAAATATTTTTTTAAAAGAAAGTAAAGTATATAAAATAATCTGAATTTTATATTATTTTTATCTTTTGTGATTGTAAGCTGTTCAGAATTATTCTGAAGTAAGATGGGCAGCCAATAAATTAGCTAGCTGGATGGATGGATGGATGGATGGATGGATGGATGGATGGATAGATGGATGGATGGATGGATTGATCGATGGATCGATCGATGGATCGATGGATCGAAAGGAAGCAGGGGTGGGATTCTACCGGTTCACACATATTCACTAGAACCGGTTGTTAACATTCTAAGCAGTTCGGAGAACCGGTTGTTAGAAGAAATGACTGGGCTAATCCTGTAAGGAAGGCAGGAAGGAAACATTCTGGTGTTGCTTACAGAAACTGCCTCTCCGCTAACCCTTATTACATTCTTGGCAGGACTGGACTTCCTGTCTCAGGAACGTCTCTGGAGTTTTTTCCCCCCTCCTTTTCTGCTAGTTTGCTTGTGTGGAGTGACCATTGAAAAAAGTGACATGACTGTTTTTGTGACCAATAACTGTTGCAGCATCCCCACAGTCACAAGAGGCCAGGCAAGGAGATGCATGCCTCGATGTGAGTGATGTTGAGTTGGCCATGCCCAGCCAGTCACATGACCACCAAGCCATGTCCACCCAGTCACATGGCCACCAAGCCATGCCCACCAACTAAGCCACGCCCACAGAACCGGTTTAAAAAATTGTTTAAAAATTTGAATCCCACCCCTGAAAGGAAGGAAGGAAGGAAAGGAAGGAAGGAAGGAATAGGTGAGTAGATAGAATAGAAAGAAAGAAAGATATAGATAGGTGGGTAGATGATAGAAAAAAGAAAGAAAGGAAAGAAAGAAAGATATAGATAGGTGGATAGATGATAGAAAGAAAGAAAAAAGAGAAAGAAAGGATTGATATATACAGTAGATACAGATAGGTGGACAGAAAGAAAGATTGATACATAGATATAGGTAGGTAGGTAGGTGAGTGGGTAGATAGATAATAAATTTTAAAAACTGCAAATAGTCCTTGATTTTATAACCATTCATTTAGTGATTCTTTTCAAAGTTACGTGAAAAAAGTGACTTACGACTGGTCCTTGAACTTACGACCATTTCATCATCCCTACAGTCATGTGATCAAATTTGGCCACTTGGCAACTGCCCTGTATTTATGACAGTTGCAATATCCCAGGGTCATGGGATCCAACAGCTGGAAAGCCAGATTCATTTAACGACTGCTGGATTCACTTAACAACTTAACTTGCAGAACAACTGTCGCCTGAGTAGTAAAATGGGATGGGACTCATCTAACGACCTAGCCCAGCAATGAAAATTCAAACAATTGTGACTACCTGTAGCTCTATTTTAAAGTTATTTTTTAAAAGAAATTATTTTTTACAATTATGGGGCTGCATGGAGTTGGTAAATGAATAAAAGGAAATAAATTGACTCCAATTTTATTCAAGAAATTTGCACTCATGCAGTTCAAAAAAATGAAGAAAACCAATTTACCAATTAGACCAATAGATCTTTAAAGAATTCTACATTATGGAAAAGCAAAAAGTTGTGATTTGTTGTTCATGCCTTATTTTACTGTGACAGAGAGAGTTGGAGCTCAATACTTCTTTTTCTTTTTCTTTTCCCTATCTTTCTTCTCCCTGCTGCTTTTTCTATTTACTTTGTATTTTGTATTTTATAATACTTTATAACTCAATAATTTTTTTTTAAATGAGGAAAACCTCAAGCGAAGTGAGCCAGAAGGGAAAAGAGATAATAAAATGCAAAATCTGGATGGACTTCAACTCCCAGAATTCCCCAGCCAGCACAGCTTCACCCTCCTCCTTTCTTTCCTCCTTCCCTCCTTTATATTTCTTTCCATTTTCTTCTTCTTTTCTTCCTCCCTCCCTTCCTTCCCTATTTCCTTCCTTCCTTTTTCCTTCTTCCCTTCCTTCTCTTTCTTTTCCTTTCCTCCTTTCTTTTCCTTCCTCTCTTTCTCTCTCTCTCTCTCTCCCTCTCTTCATTTCATTCTACCTATTTTCCTTCCTTCCCTTTCTTCTTTCCTCCCTTCTCTGTCCCCTTCCTTCCCTATTTCCTTCCTTCTTGTTAAGTGAAGTGAGCCAGAATGGAAAAGAGATAATAAAATGCAAAAACCCAGCCTCCTTCTAATAATAAGAAGAACATATAGATTTTACGGCTTGCTTAGGTAATGGCCCCTTTTCAAATTTTGTAGTAGGAAACTTGGTGATTTTTAATGGCCACCACAAAAAAAAATCTGTGAAACTAAGCTGAAAAGAAAAGAGGACAGCCAAAGGGATAGGTGCTTCAGTTTAAAAGTGTGTGTTGGGTTCACATTTTTGTAAATCTCTCTCCTGACGTTTGGGTGGGTGGGGGTTGAGCTAGATGATCTACAAGGTCCCTTCCAACTCTGTTGATATCTGTTTTGTGTACCAGGTGGTGAAAAACAACCTCAGTCCTCGGTGGCAACCGTTCCGAATTTCTTTGCAATCGTTGTGCAGTTGTGATCCTGAACGGCCTATACGGGTAAATTTCTTCTGAGATTTATTTTTTTTTAAAAAATGAAAATTAAGGAAGGGGGATGAACTGGGTGCAAAATATCAATTTCAAATGTTTCGGCTGTGTGAAAGTCCATCATGAAAAAAGTTTGTTTTGTCCTAGACATCAATATAAAAGGATTTAAATCTGTGTTTTCCCAAGATGGCAAGTTTAAGTCGGATGGACTTCAACTCCCAGAATTCTGGGAGTTGAAGTCCACAAGGCTTAAACTTGATAAGTTAGAGAAAACCTCCGTTAGATTTGAAAATAAACTCAAATTATCAGAATTCATCTTCGCAAGTTGAGGAAAAACTGTATTAGATCTGAAAATAATCTCAAATTACAATGAACAATTAGGAAAAAAACCAAGGAAGCGATTCAGTAAACAGAACCAATTTCCCATCTGTGTTTATTTCTCTGATCCCGGAAGGGGGTTAAAAAACCCCCCACGAAACCTGACTTTTAATTGGATTTGAAGGTGGGTTTTGGGGGAAGGTACCTGGAGGAGCAAATTCTGCCCTGTATTTCAGACTCTCTCATTTTTCCCACTTTTCCAGTGTGTGGTTTACGATCATGACTCCAGCGGGAAGCATGATTACATTGGGGAATTCAGCACAAATTTTCAAGAAATGTTGCAGGCTTCTTCTGGAGAAGAGGTAATGGGAATTGGTGGAGGGAGGGAAGGAAGGAAGAAAAAAAGGAAGGGAAGGAAAGAAGGAAGGGAAGGAAGGAAGGAAGGAAGGAGAGAGAGAAGAAAGGAGGGTGGGAAGAAGGAAATAAAGGAAGAGAAGAGGAAGGGCGAAATGGAGGGAGGGAGTAAAGAAGGAAGAAGGGCAAAAAAGAAAAAGAAAGGAAGGAAGGAGGGAAGAAAAAGAGAAAGAGAGAGAGGAGGGAAGAAAGGAGAAAAGGATGGAGAGAGGGAGGGAGGGAAAGAACAAAAAGAGAAAATTGAAGGCCGGAGGGAAGGAAGAAATAGAGAAAAAGGAAGGAAGGGACAAAGGGAGGGAGGGAAGGAAAGAAAGAAGGAAGGAAGGAAGGAAGGAAGGAAGGAAGGAAGGAAGGAAGGAAG